AAAATTTATATCCAGCCTGGGCAACATGGTGAGACCTCGTCTCTACAAAAAAAATTTAAAAATTAGCTGGGTGTGGTGGCCCATACCTCAACTGCTCAGGAGGCTGTAGTGGGAAGATCACCTGAGCCCCAGAGGTGGAGGCTGCAATGAGCCATGATCACGCCACCGCACTCCGGGGCAACAGAATGAGAGTCAAAAAAAATTTTTTTAATTAAAAAAATAATTTATGGCCGGGCGCGGTGGCTCAAGCCTGTAATCCCAGCACTTTGGGAGGCCGAGACGGGCGGATCACGAGTTCAGGAGATCGAGACCATCCTGGCTAACACGGTGAAACCCCGTCTCTACTAAAATACAAAAAAAAATTAGCCGGGCGAGGTGGCGGGCGCCTGTAGTCCCAGCTACTCGGGAGGCTGAGGCAGGAGAATGGCGGGAACCCGGGAGGCGGAGCTTGCAGTGAGCTGAGATCCGGCCACTGCACTCCAGCCTGGGCGACAGAGCGAGACTCCGTCTCAAAAAAAAAAAAATAATAATAATAATTTATATCTCTTTGCTAATATTCTCTATTTGATGGAATATCATATATCTTCCATTACTTCTTTAATCATGCTTTCCCTTATTCTATGAACATATTTGTAGTGGTTATTCTGAAATATTTTTCTGTTAAAATCTGTTACTTACACAGGCAGGTTCTGTTCCTGCATTTTTTTTTTTTTTCTGGTATACTAGTCATACTTTCATTTCTTTGCTAATTTTTTGTTGGAAAGTGGACGTTTTAATAACATTAAATAAATAATTGAACAGCACCCAATAGCAACTCTGGGTACAGGTCCAAACCCCCTCCCTTCTGGAGCTTGTATTGCTGTTTGCTTGTTTATTTGCTTAGTGACTAGCTGGATTATTTTGGTGAAGCCTTTACCTCTCCCCTACAATGTTCTGCCTCTGATGGTCCTCTTCAGGGAGGTGCAGCTATGTGTATGCCCACAGTCACCCTGGAATGACAGTGGTTCTGGTAAGGCTCTCCTACTCTCTTTTCCTAATCATGCCCAGCTGTTAAACTCCACTAATTGCCACTCCTAAACTTCACTGTTTGCTCTATTGTTTTCGATAATACTCTGGGCACAAATTCCTCTGCAAACTAATCCAAATTGTGGCCCCTTAGATAGAACAGTTTCAGAGGCCAGTGTTTTATATATTCTTTAATCCCAGTAGGGCTCCACCCAGCTGTCGTATTACCCCATTTTCTCCTGCAAACTAGCCAACCTCCAACCTAGGCTGTATCTTCATTAGATCCATGAATCTCCTTCCAATTGCTTTTCACCATAATGTCTACTGCTGTTGAGAATACCCTTGGGTTTAAACTTCCTTGTATTCCCTTGCAAGTAAGGTCAGTTCCTATGGGAAGCGATCATGGGCTGTTTTACAACCTGCCTTTCCCCTCCAGGCAAAATCTCTTAGCTCAGTGGCAAACTTCTGAGTCACACTCCCACTCTAGGAGCTGAGCAGTCAGTGGAAGGGAGGCAGCAGCCACTCCTGGCATGGAACTGTCACCTCATAAGCCGTGAGAAGGGCTATCAGGACCCCGGTATTCTCAGCATGTCACACCCAAAGTATAGTCCACTTTCCACAAGTAGGGGCTAAGTGGAAGAAGGGAGCCCCACCTCGACCAGACTCACTCAGGACTTACTTCCACAACAGGCAGCTGGGAGAGGGATGAGATACACTGAAGTATTCCCTCTTCCCAGGAAAAAAGCCCTCTGGCTGGGAGATGGAAGAAGAGAATCCTGTGTTCTTGGCAACACCAATCTGGTGTGGAGTCCACCTCCCTTTGCTGGACTGAGTTGTCTTGATTCAATACCACAGACTTGCCTTTCTTACTAAATTCTCATAGATTTTCTTGAATAGATGTTTCTTTTTTTTTTTTTTAACGGAGTCTCACTCCATCACCCAGGCTGGAGTGCAGTGGCAGGATCTCGGCTCACTGCACCCAACCTCCGCCTCCGGGGTTCAAGCAATTCTCCTGCCTCAGCCTCCCTAGTAGGTAGGAATACAGGCATGCACCATCATACCCAACTAATTTTTCTATTTTTTTTTTTTAGTAGAGATGGGGTTTCACCATGTTGGCCAGGCTGGTCTTGAACTCCTGATCTCAAGTGATCCATCCACCTTGGTCTCCCAAAATGCTGGGATTACAGGCATTAGCCACCACACCCGGCCTTCAATAGATGTTTCTTCATTTGCTGTTTGCCCTTCAGACCATTTCCAGAAGCTTTAATTTGTTCTCTCTTTCATTTTTATTTTATTGGGCGCTTTCTTTTTCTTTTTTCTTTTTTTTTTCTGAGACAGAGTCTCACTCTGTCACCAGGCTGGAGTTCAGTGGTGCAATCTCGGCTCACTGCAACCTCCACCTCCCAGATTCAAGTGATTCTCCTGCCTCAGCCTCCTGAGTAGCTAGGACTATAGACATGTGCCACCATGCCCACCTAATTTTTGTATTTTCAGTAGAAACGGTTTCACCATGTTGGCCAGGATGGTCTTGATTTCTTGATCTCATGATCCGCCCCCCTCGGCCTCCCAAAGTGCTGGGATTATTTTTTTTTTTTTGAGACAGAGTCTCGCTCTGTCGCCCAGGCTGGAGTGCAGTGGCCGGATCTCAGCTCACTGCAAGCTCCGCCTCCCGGGTTCACGCCATTCTCCGGCCTCAGCCTCCCGAGTAGCTGGGACTACAGGCCTCCACCACCACACCTGGCTAATTTTTTGTATCTTTAGTAGAGACAGGGTTTCACCGTGTTAGCCAGGATGGTCTTGATTTCTTGATCTCATGATCCGCCCCCCTCGGCCTCCCAAAGTGCTGGGATTACAGGCTTGAGCCACCGCGCCCGGCCAGCTTTATTTTTTTAAAATAATTTTTACCAGGCTGGGCGTGGTGGTTCACACCTGTAATCCCAACACTTTGGGAGGCCAAGGTGGGTGGATCACGAGGTCAGGAGTTCAAGACCAGCCTGGCCAACAGGGTGAAACCCTGTCTCTACTTAAAATACAAAAATTAGCTGGGTGCAGTGGGACCTGTAGTCGCAGCTACTCGGGAGGCTGAGGCAGTAGGATTGCTTGAACCTGGAAGATGGAGGTTGCAGTGAGCCGAGATCGTGCCACTATACTACAGACTGGGTGAAAAAGCAAGACTCTATCTCAAAAAAATTAAAATTAAAATTAATAACAATAATTTTTACCAGTTTCACTGGGGAGCTGCTCAGCAGAACTCCCCATGCTTTCATTCTGGAAGTGAATCTGCCTTTTATTTCTTCTTGCTTAATTGCAAGGGTTAGAAATTCCAATAATATATTGAAAAGAGTGGTGAGTACAGACACCCTTGCCTTGTTCCCAATCTTAAAAAGCATTCAATCTTTCACCGTTAAGTATGATGTTAGCTATATAAGTTTTTTGTATAAGATCTTTATCAAGTTTATTTTTAACTTGCTGAAAGTGTGTGTGTTTTTTTTAATCATGAAGGATGGTTGTTGTGTCAAACACATTTTCTGTGTCAACTGATACCGTAATTTTTCTTCTTTAGCCTGTTGGTGTTGTGGATTATTGTTGATTGATTTTCAACTGTCAAACCAGCCTTGCATACCTGGAATAAATTCCACTTGGTCATGGTGTATATTTTTTTATACATCGTTATATTTGATTTGCCAATATTGAGAATTTTTGTGCCTGAATTCATGAGAGATACTGGTCTGCAGTTTTTGTTTTGGAGGTCTTGGTGGGTATTGACACTTTGTTAGTTTTGACATCAGGATATTTCTTGCCTTATAAAATGAGTTAGGAAGTGTCCCCTTCTCTTTTGTTTTCTGAAAGAGATTGTTTAAAGTTGATATTAATTCTAATGGTGTGGTGTGTTTGGTTCCTGGGGTACAGCAGGGAGAGATGCCCAGCAGGCAGCCAGGTATGTAGCACTGAGCCTTGAGGCAGGTCTGGGGGAGTAAGAGGGCAGCCCCTGGCTTCATTAGCTCAAAGTTAGAACCCACAGAAGACTGAGGATTTTGAAACCTCCCTCCCTGTCTGTGACAATGGCTACTCTGATTCCCCCCACCCCAATCAGGGGTGATGACAATGTCTCATTCATCTGTCTCCCTGGTGCCTGGCACGGGGCGGGGGGGGGGGTGCTCAGTGAATCTGGGTGGCGCAGTAGCCTGTGTGAAAGCAAGAGGCATTTCAGGAAATTCATGAGGCGGGCTTCTTCCTGAGAGGTGTGGCAGAGGGTGCTGCCAGGAATAGAGGGAAACACTTTCTTCCCTTTTCCTTCTACTGCCTAGGGAAGTGTGGGGGTGGAGGGGAGGTGAAGGGACAGATCAACGAGTTGCCAAGAGACCTGGAGACCGACCCATCCGGGCTACCTTCCCTGGTGCGCTCTCGCCGGCTCCATCCCTGGTTGCCATGGAGACAGGAGGCGGTTGCCACGGAGACCGACGACTGCCAGGACCAGCCAATCACTCCGGAGCTGCAGCTCCAGGGCTCACCTTTTGGATGGAGGCATCGGGCTGGGCGGGGCCCCCTTCCTCCCCAGGCCCTGCACCTTCTGCTTGGTCAGCGCAGCCACCGCCGCCCAAAGCGCTCCGAGCATTCCAGGATCCCAACCACCTCCCCAATCTCCCACAACCAGGGTTCTGGGGGCGTCCCCGCCTCTTCCCGGCCACGGGCTAATGCCACCCTGAGGCAAGCCAGCTTCCAATTGGCCCTGAAACCCTCCCTCGTTAATGCTGTGGAAAGGGCGGGACCGGGCGCAGGCGCCCACCCCCGCTCCCCCTCGAAACCGCGCACAGCTAGAGGGAGGCCACAGCCGGGTGGGGCGGGGGCGGGGGCGGGGGCGGGGGCGGGGAGGGAGCCCTCCCACCCCCCGCACGCCCTCCGCAGTGCCCGGCGAGCCCGCGCACGCTCACTCGCGGGGACAGGCGGGCGGGGCGGCCTGACGTCACCCACTGCCTCCACCGCCTGGCCGAGGGGCGGTGGCCGCGCAGGCTCGGCGGGGCGGCGGCACCGACTGACAGAGGGTCGGAAGGACTGAGGGACGGGCGGGCGCACGGCCAGGCCATGCCTGGGGAGGCTGCCCGCGCCGAGCTGCTGCTGCCCGAGGCGGACGGACCCGGGCCCCGCACAGGTGAGGCCGTGGCCACTCCGTCCCTGCCTCCAGCGTCTCCCCTCTCCAGCCCGGGTTCTCTTTCCATCGCTCACCTTTCACCCCCTCCCCCATCTCCTCGAGTCCCCTCCCCTTTCCGCGCCCTGTCCTTCCCTCCATCTGAACCCTGCCCCCGCCTCTCCCAGAACTGCGGGGAAGGTGGGGCGCACGACGTGCCCTCCGCGAGCCAGAAAGGACATGGGGGCTTAAGCCCTTGGCCTCCGACCCAGGGATCGTGGGGCTCGCATCCCGCCCGCTGCATCCCGTTGTCCGCACCGAGCTGCCAGCCTGCCGGGGCTGGGCCACTCTGGACAGAGGCAGTGGGTTCTGGAGGCGGGGTGTCCGGCCGATACCCCCAATACGATCAGGTGACCACCGGGAGGGTCCTCAGCTGCACCAGGCCTGTCCTGGGCTGGCGACTGGTCATGGCTCTGGAGGGAGGAGTAGGACTGGCTGGAGCCTGGGAAGCCTGGATGGAGGGCCAGGTTGTGAAAGAAAGGCTAAGTTGGGTCTGGAAAGTGAAAGGCCTTGGGGGAGGTGGCCTGATTAGCAATGGCCCCGGTGTGCAGACCACCTGTCCTTAGGCTGGGTCAACAAATGCTGGTGGAGGCTGATGGGGTCTACCAGGGCCTAGAAAGAGCCCAGCCTGCACAGTCCTGGCGTGGAGGTCAGCCATGTGTGGGTAGGGCCAAGGGCACCTTGCTGTGGGCAAGAAGTCACCCAGAGATGGGACCAGTGCTGGGGCCTGGGGCCTGGTTTGGGGTGACATAGGCTGCTGCCTCTGCTCTAGGTGGGAGGCAGGGAGTGCAGGCCCGGACTTCCCAGCCCCAGGGTCTTGTGCTGGCTCTGTTCTGGCTTGCTTGGTGACCTTGAATGAGTTATAAAAACCTTTGGCCTTTGATTTCTGTTCCATCCCAACAGTTCAGCCGTTCCCCTGCCCTGGGGGCCACACCAGGGACCAGAACCAAGAGCCCAGCTTCAGGGCACCCAGTGATGCCCCACCAGCCACGCCCACTCCTGGTGTTGAGTGTCAGGCATGCAGAAACCCAAAGGACCCCTTGTCTCAGGACGCCCTGGCTGTCCCATTACCCCAGCAGCAAAGCCCTCGGGGGACGAGTTTTGGCTGGTGGCTCAGGGTTCAGGGCTTTGATGCTCCTGAGGGGAGCTGGAGCAGCCTGGCAAGAGGGCCCCCCTTCTTTAAGCTTCACCTCTAATCCTGGCTCTGCTTTGCAGATGAGAAGACTGAGGTGCAGGAGATATCCTGGTCACTAGTGAGTTCAGTAGAGCAGGAGCCACTGGGCAGGCATCTGCAGCCTGGAGAGCTGGTCCCTGTGTGCCGCCCCTCCCCCACCCTGGGCAAGACCTGGCCTGGACTCTGAAGGGCCTTCACTGGATGCTTCAAACAGAGGTGCCTTTGGCCTAGGTCCAAGTGAGGGAGTGGACATAATGGAGACATTTAAAATGAGGCTTATGAGCATTTAGAGCACACAGAAAAATGCTTATGAGATTAGGTTGGGTGAAAACAGCTAGACTCAAAACTGAATGTGCAATGTGATCTCGCCTGTGATAAAATACAGGCCAGTAAGAGTCCAGGAGGCAGAAAACCATAGCGGTGTGGTGTGCCGCAACCTCGGAGGGGTTTTATTCCATCTTCCTGAGTCCCCTTTCCGACCCATGGCTGCTACTTCCTATGTGCATGGACTCCTTTCTCAGCTGGAGGTGTGTTAGCGCACAGACGTTTACTGAGTACCACGGCCTCCTCATACTGAAGCCTGCCCAGGGGGTTGGCGGAGTGCACCATGGGACCCAGAGAAGGCCCACAGGGCAGGGTGGGAACTCCCAGCACCCGGGAAGGAACTGGTGGTCACCCATGGGGTGGCTGCCACCAAGGAGAGGACTTGGCCAGAGGCTGCTGTTGGCCCTCTGAAGCTGTCCCGTGCTCTTGCTGGGCTCCACAGCCCCCGTTCCTGCCCACCACTGCCCTTGTAGCCAGATGCTCCAACAAAGCCTCTGAGGGACACTTCATCTCTGTTCTCCAGAAACTTGGCTGCGTGTGGTGGCCCCTGGATTCCCCATCTCCCTGGCCGCAGGAGGGGAGCAGGGTCAGAGGGGTCTGGTGAAACCCTGATATGTTGGCCTGAAGTGTAGGTAGCAAGGACAGCAGAGAAAGGAGGCACAGCGAGGCATGAAGCCTGGAACGTTCGAGCTGCGCACGTCGTGCTGGTGCCCCCTGCCTCATGTGGCGCATCTATTGGGAGGTCATGGGACGGGGCTGGCGCTGCCTGGCAGATTCCCACCGCCAGCCCCTCCCGCTGAGCCCAGCTGAACCACACTGATTCTGTGGAATGAAAACTGCAATCCAGTCTCCTCAGAGAGGCTGAAATGCTAGTTCTTTGCTGAGCTGTCCTTGAGGAAAGCCGCTGAGCAGGTCTGTTCATGACTCCCAGCAGCACTTCCCTCAAAACCCCTCTCTAGGAAACTGCTAGTAGCTGCTCTCTGCTGTCAAAACTCTTGGAAGTTCTCCCTCAAACGCAGCGCGCGCAGCATCTTCTCTTTTCTCTCCTGCCTTCCTGGGTCTGCCTTCCTCTGGGCCCTGTGCAGTGGAAATTCATCTCCCCAGGCCTGGCCCTTGCCTGGGAGATGCATCCAGGGGCACCTCACGATCTTCTCTATCTCCACAGATCTGTCCTGCGATGCAGCTGCTGCCACCACCATCCTGGGAGGGGACCGGCGGGAGCCCTGTGCTCTGACCCCAGGGCCCAGCCACCTGGCCCTCACGTTCCTGCCCAGCAAGCCGGGTGCCCGGCCCCAGCCTGAGGGAGCCAGCTGGGATGCAGGGCCTGGTGGGGCACCCTCAGCCTGGGCAAATCCAGGGGAGGGCGGCCTGAGCCCCATGCTTCTCCCTGAGGGCCTGTCTTCCCAGGCTCTGTCGACCGAGGCTCCTCTCCCGGCCACCCTGGAGCCCCGGATTGTGATGGGAGAGGAGACGTGCCAAGCCCTCCTGTCACCCAGGGCTGCCCGGACAGCGCTCAGGGACCGGGAGGGTGGGCATGCAAGCTCAGACCCACCCCCCGAGTTGTGTTCTCAGGGTGATCTTTCTGTGCCTTCCCCTCCCCCAGACCCTGATTCCTTCTTTACACCTCCCTCCACCCCCACCAAGACCACCTATGCCCTGCTTCCCGGCTGTGGGCCCCTTGGAGATGCAGGGGACTCAGAGGCTGAGCTGTGGGATGAGCTGCTGGACTCGCCCCCGCCCTCACCCTCGGGCTCCTACATTACGGCCGATGGGGACAGCTGGGCCTCTTCACCCTCCTGTTCCCTCAGCCTGCTGGCTCCAGCTGAAGGGCTGGACTTCCCCTCAGGCTGGGGCCTGTCCCCCCAGGGGTCCATGGCGGATGAACGAGAGCTGCACCCTGCCGGAACCCCAGAGCCCCCCTCCTCTGAGTCCAGCCTCTCTGCAGACAGCAGCTCCTCCTGGGGCCAGGAGAGCCACTTCTTTGACCTGGACTTCCTGGCCAATGACCCGATGATCCCTGCAGCCCTCCTACCCTTCCAGGGCAGCCTCATCTTCCAGGTGGAGGCAGTGGAGGTGACACCGCTATCCCCAGAGGAAGAAGAGGAGGCTGTGGCGGATCCCGACCCAGGTGGGGACCTGGCTGGGGAGGGTGAGGAGGACAGCACGTCCGCCTCCTTCCTGCAGTCGCTGTCTGACCTGTCCATCACGGAGGGCATGGATGAGGCCTTTGCCTTCCGAGACGACACCTCTGCAGCCTCCTCTGATTCGGACTCAGTCTCCTACACAGAGGCAGATGACGAGAGGCTGTACAGCGGGGAGCCCCATGCCCAGGCCACCCTCCTCCAGGACAGTGTCCAGAAGACAGAGGAGGAGAGCGGAGGTGGGGCCAAGGGGCTGCAGGTTCAGGAAGGGACTATGTCCTGGGCCCTGGAGGCTGCGCCTCAGACCTCAGACAGAGGGGCCCCTCTCTCCCAGAGACAGGAATCGATCTCAGAAGTAACAGAAGAGGGCCTTGCTTTAGGCCAGGAGTCCACTGCCACTGTGACCCCTCACACTCTGCAGGTAGCCCCAGGCCTCCAGGTGGAGGTGGCTACCAGGGTGACCCCTCAGGCTGGGGAGGAAAAAGCGGACTCCACCACTGGACAAGCATCTGCTGCCATGGCAATGCCTCAGCCCTCCCAGGAGGGCATCAGCGAGATCTTAGGCCAAGAGTCTGTCACTGCAGAAAAACTTCCAACTCCACAGGAAGAAACAAGCCTCACACTGTGTCCAGACTCTTCTCAGAACTTGAAGGAAGAAGGAGGGCTGGACCTCCCCTCTGGCCCGAAGCCTGTAGCTGCAGCCTCACTTATGCCCCAGCAGGCTGAAGAGGATCTCACCTTACCCCAGGACCCCGCTGTGACACCACCTCTGCCCCTACAAGACACAGATCTCTCATCAGCCCCGAAGCCTGTGGCTGCAGCCACAACTGTCCTCAGGCAGGCTGAAGAGGACCTCACCTTACCCCAGGGCCCTGCTGTGACACCACCTCTGCCCCTACAAGACACAGATCTCTCGTCAGCCCCAAAGCCTGTAGGTGCAGCCTCGCTTGTGCCCCAGCAGGCTGAAGACGACCCCACCTTACCCCAGGACCCCGCTGTGACACCACCTCTGCCCCTACAAGACACAGATCTCTCGTCAGCCCCGAAGCCTGTGGCTGCAGCCACGATTGTCCCCAGGCAGGCTGAAGAGGACCTCACCTTACCCCAGGACCCCGCTGTGACACCACCTCTGCCCCTACAAGACACAGATCTTTCATCAGCCCCGAAGCCTGTGGCTGCAGCCACAACTGTCCCCAGGCAGGCTGAAGAGGACCTCACCTTACCCCAGGACCCCGCTGTGACACCACCTCTGCCCCTACAAGACACAGATCTCTCGTCAGCCCCAAAGCCTGTAGGTGCAGCCTCGCTTGTGCCCCAGCAGGCTGAAGAGGACCCCACCTTACCCCAGGACTCTGCTATGACACCACCTCTGCCTCTGCAAGACACAGGCCCCACCTCAGGTCCAGAGCCTCTGGCTGTGGCCACCCCTCAGACCTTGCAGGCAGAAGCAGGCTGCACCCCAGGGACAGAGCCTGTGGCCACCATGGCTCAGCAGGAAGTAGGTGCGGCCTTAGGCCCCAGGCCAGCACCTGAGGAGAAGAATGTAGCCCTCTCTAGAGTACCGGAGCCTGCAGCCTTGGACCAGGTCCAACAGGATGACCCACAGCCAGCTGCAGAAGCTGGGACACCTTGGGCCGCACAGGAAGATGCGGATTCGACTTTGGGCATGGAGGCCCTCTGTCTCCCTGAGCCTGCCTCTGGTGCTGGGGAGGAAGTAGCAGAAGCCCTTTCTAGGCCTGGATGGGAAGCATGTCTGGAAGCCCTAGTGCACACAAGTGATGGGGCTAAGCCTGACTCACCCCAAAAGGAGACCCTGGAGGTTGAGAACCAGCAGGGAGGAGGCCTCAAGCCACCGGCACAGGAACATGGACCCGGGTCAACACTTGGAGGTGCAGGGGAGGTCCCCGAGGCACCTCCTGCTGCCTGCCCTGAGGTCAGCCAGGCCTGGCTCCTGAGCCCAGCCAGCGAAGGAAGAGGCCTGAGTGGCAAGTCCACACTGGAGCCCACGCTTCCCTCAGCTGTGGCCACAGAGGCCAGTGTGGACTCCTGCCCAGAATCTTCAGTAGGGGCTGTGTCCAGGCTGGACAGAGGCTTCCCTGACGCACCTGCGCCCACATCTGCACCAACCTCCCAGCAGCCGGAGCCTGTGCTGGGAGGCTGCCCTGATGCACCTGCCCCGATGTCTACACCAACCTCCCAGCAGCCGGAGCCTGTGCTGGGTCTGAGCAGTGTTGAGCGACCCCACAAAGCACCCAGTGTCCTTGGCCCCCTCTTGCTGCAGCCCCCAGAAAACCTTGGCAAGGGTCTGCCCAGCGCACCCCCGGACAGGCCCCTGGGCCCTGATCTTTCTGCTCCTGGTACCCTTGCTGGGGCAGCCCTACCCCCACTGGAGCCCCCAGCCCCCTGTCTGTGCCAGGACCTCCAGAAAGACTCCGTGGAAGAAGAGGAGCCCCCAGGCTCTCTGGGCCTCCCAACGCCCCAGGCAGGATCCCAGCCTGCCGCTGCTGCTGTCTCAGGAACCACACAGCCTCTGGGGACTGGGCCGCGAGTCAGCCTCTTGCCTCACTCCCCGCTCCTCAGCCCCAAGGTGGCCTCCATGGATGCCAAAGACCTGGCCTTGCAGATCTCGCCGCCTTGCCAAGTGCCTCCTCCCTCTGGGCCCCAGAGCCCAGCTGGCCCTCAAGGGCTCTCGGCCCCCGAGCAGCAAGAGGACGAGGACAGCCTGGAGGAAGGTAAGGGGGAGGGTAGGATTGAAGTGCCCTGGGGCTTGGGTCAACTGGACTCTTCCTTAGAGTTGTCCTGGGCTGGAGGGCCCCTGAGGTGGTGGGGTGGGGGGCCCAGACCCCACAGCCACCATGGGGAGCTGGCACTGCTTCCTCTGGCCCTGATGTGGCAGCAGGGCCAGGGTCCTGAACCCCCTTCCCCACCACCTAGAAGCAAAAGGCCATCCTCACACCTCTCCCCTTCCCCAGACTCGCCTCGGGCCCTGGGCTCGGGTCAGCATTCGGATAGCCACGGGGAGTCGTCAGCCGAGCTGGACGAGCAGGACATCTTGGCTCCTCAGACCGCGCAGTGTCCAGCCCAGGTGCCCAGTCCAGGGAAGAGGGTGGGCCTCTGGGAGGGCCCCACATCCCACCCACGGATGCTCAGCCCTCACCTTTTCCCAGGCCCCAGCAGGCAGCAGTGAGGAGACCATCGCCAAAGCCAAGCAGAGTCGCAGTGAGAAGAAGGCCCGAAAGGTGGGCTGGTGGTTTCCCCTGGGACCTCAGGCCTGGGACCATCTGTGTGGGGAACATCCTTACCAAGACCCTCACACTCCATGGCTAATGAAATCCCATCCATCGGGGGCCTTTGGATCCATGCCAGTAACCCACACACCTTCCCCTAAACAGCTGAGGCTGGAATGTCATGAGAGGGCCCTTGTAGACTGAGGCTCATGGGGAGGGACCAACCACCAGCCCAAGGTCTTGGGGAAGTTGGCGGTGGAGACTTTGCCTTCCTGGGCACTGTGCTGCTCTCCTCCCCCGACATGGGTCAACACCAGGTCTGAGCCCCCCCTCTGCCCTCTACTCCCAGGCAATGTCAAAGCTGGGCTTGCGGCAGATTCAGGGAGTCACCAGGATCACCATCCAGAAGTCCAAGAACATCCTCTTTGTCATCGCCAAGCCTGATGTCTTCAAGAGCCCAGCCTCAGACACTTATGTGGTCTTTGGCGAGGCCAAGGTCTGGGTGGAGGCTGTGGTGGACTGGGGGGTCCGAGGGACGGGGGACAAGGGAGGTCACAGGCTCTACTGACCCAGCCGTCTTCCGTGTTGCAGATTGAGGACCTGTCCCAGCAAGTGCACAAAGCTGCAGCTGAGAAGTTTAAGGTGCCCTCAGAGCCCTCGGCTTTGGTCCCTGAGTCAGCACCCAGGCCCCGGGTGAGGCTGGAGTGCAAGGAAGAGGAAGAGGAGGAGGAGGAAGAGGTGAGGTGCAGAGGCTCCAGGACCTCTTGGGGGTTGTGGGAGGCGTTACACAGGGGCTCTGCCCCAGGGACCTCAAGCAGCTCCAGCCACTTCCCTGCTCTCCCAACCCTAGGTGGACGAGGCGGGGCTGGAACTGCGTGACATTGAGCTGGTGATGGCGCAGGCCAATGTGTCCAGGGCCAAGGCCGTGCGGGCTCTGAGAGACAACCACAGTGACATTGTCAACGCCATCATGGTGAGCACTGGCCCCTTTCCCTGCCCCCGAGCTGTCCCCAAGGGCCTCGAGGGGTCCTGATGTTGGCTCTATTGGGGGACGCTTCCCCCAACATGACTGTCTCTTTCTGCAGGAACTGACCATGTAGCCACTGACCGGAAGCTGGAGCCATCCTACGCCTTCCCTCAGCTCTGCTACTCAATAAATCGGTGTCCCTCCATTGCCCTCTGGTGTCTCCTCGCCCTCTGGAGTCCCATCATCACCATCTGGCATCCCTTCACTTCCCTCTGGTGTCCCTTCACCACCCTCTGATGTCCCCTCACTGCCCTCTGGTGCCCCCTCATCACCCTCTGATGTCCCCTCATCACCCTCTGGTGTCCCCCACTTCCTTCTAGTGTCTCCTCACCACCTTCTGGTGTCCCTTCACTACTCTCTGGTGTCCACTCACAACCCTCTGATGTCCCTTCACTGCCCTCTGGTGTCCCCTCATTCCTCTCTGGTGTCCACTCACCGCCCTCTGATGTCCCCTCATTACTCTTGGTGTCCCCTCATCACCCTCTGGTGTCCCCTTAATACTCTCTGGTGTCCCCTCACTGCCCTCTGATGTCCCATTACTCTCTGGTGTCCCCTCATCGCCCTCTGGCGTCCCCTCATCACTCTCTGGTGTCACCTCATCACCCTCTGGTGTCCCCTCAATACTCTCTGGTGTCCCCTCAATACTCTGTGGTGTTCCTTCCTTGCCCTCTGGTGTCCCCTCATTACTCTCTGGTGTCCATTCACCACCCTCTGGTGTCCCCTCACTGCCCTCTGGTGTCCCCTCAATACTCTGTGGTGTCCCCTCACTGCCCTCTGGTGTTCCCTCATTACTCTCTGGTGTCCATTCACCGCCCTCTGGTGTCCCCTCATCACCTTCTGGTGTCCCCTCATTACTCTGTGGTGTCCCCTCATCACTCCCTGGTATCCCCTCATTACTCCCTGGTGTCCCCTCACTGCCCTCTGATGTCCCCTCATCACTCCCTGGTGTCCCATCACTCTCTGATGTCCCCTCATTACTCCCTGGTGTCCCCTCATCACCCTCTGGTGTCCCCTCATTACTCCCTGGTGTCTCCTCATCACCCTCTGGTGTCCCCTCATCACCCTCTGATGTCCCCTCATCACTCCCTGGTGTCCCCTCATCACCCTCTGGTGTCTCCTCACCAACTTCTGGTGTCCCCTCACTGCCCTCTGATGTCCCCTCATTACTCTCTGGTGTCCCCTCACTGCCCTGATGTCCCCTCATTACTCTCTGGTGTCCCCTCACTGCCCTCTGATGTCCCATTACTCCCTGGTGTCCCCTCAACGCCCTCTGGTGTCCCCTCAATACTCTCTGGTGTCCCCTCATCACCCTCTGGTGTCCACTCACCGCCCTCTGATGTCCCCTCACTCTCTGGTGTCCCCTCATTACTCTGTGGTGTCCCCTCACTGCCCTCTGATGTCCCATTACTCTCTGGTGTCCCCTCATCACTCTCTGGTGTCACCTCACTGCCCTCAGGTGTCCCATTACTCTGTGGTGTTCCCTCACTGCCCTCTGATGTCCCCTCATCGCCCTCTGGTGTCCCCTGCATACTCTCTGGTGTCCCTTCACCACCCTTTGATGTCCCCTCAATACTCTCTGGTGTCCCCTCATCACCCTCTGATGCCCCCTCACCGCTCTCTGGTGCCCCTCATTACTCTGATATTCCCTTATCACCTTCTGGTGTCCCGTCACAGCCCTCTGGTGTTCCCTCATCACCCTCTGGTGTCCCTTCATCACTCCATGATGTCCATTACTCCCTGGTTTCCCCTCACTGCCCTCTGATGTCCCTTCATTACTCTCTGGTGTCCCCTCATTACCCTCTGGTGTTCCTTCATCTGCTCCATGTCCTCTACTCTTTCTACTAGCAAAGACCAGTGACTGCAGCATGGGGGTCACATCTGGGATGGACCTTGGAGGGGCAGGCATGTGGTTCCTTTGACACTCCACACAGAAGGCCCACGCAAGGCCATGTTCAACCAGTGGGGTGGACGGGGGACATGACCCTTCTGGCACAGGGTGGGCTCTGGTAGGGGGCAAGAGCCCAGGAGACTGTGTGGTTCATCCTCAGCCTCTCCTGATGCTTCCAGGGAATGTCCATTTTCATAGAAACTTAGAGACAGTGTCAACAGTAAAGAGCCCGCCACCTGCCCTGGCCTGGGGTCCCATGAGTAAGCAGCTCTACAACAGCACAGTACAGTGGGAAAACTCACCCATAAAACGCTGACCAGGGTTGGCCGCGGTGGCTTGTGCCTGTAATCCCAACACTTTGGGAGGCAGGTAGATCACAAAGTCAGCAGTTCGAGACCAGCCTGGCCAATATGGTGAAACCCTGTCTCTACTAAAAATATAAAAATTAGCCAGGCGTGGTGGCAGGCACCTGTAGTCCCAGTTACTCAGGAGGCTGAGGCAGGAGAATCTCTTGAACCCAGGAGGTGGAGGTTGCAGTGAGCCAAAACCATGCCACTGCACTCCAGCCTGGGCAACAGAGTGAGACTCCGTCTTGAGAAAAACAAAACAAACAAACAAAAACACTGACCACACCCCTTCCTGTCCAGAAGCTGTGATACTGCAAAAACCCATCCACCTTTTTCAGGAAGGTGCCTGAGATACTCCGGATCCTCTGGCTTAGCCTGGACACAATCAGGGCGTCCATGGAGCCCCAGAGGCTCTCCCTGCTTCCCCGAGCCTGGGCCAGAGAAGCCCTGGGGCCTGACATGCAGCCCCTCTAGCCAGCAAGGCCAGGCCCCCCACCTGGGCAGGAGGGAGATATGACAGCCAATCTCCTTCCCAGATGTCTATCCCCTTGGGGGTCTCAGCAGGGGTGTGGCTGCTCTCCAGTGGAGGGAGAGGCCCAGGACAACCTGACCCAGGTCACCTCTCCTCCCCTTCCCATATCCAAGGAAGGTGTGCAAGGGCCCAAAGGGTACAGGCAAGACCAAGGCCAACAGAGCTCATGGGACAGGGGTGGAGACAGGACCACAATGAGGGCACAGGGAGAGTCGGCAGAGTTGCACACTGGCCTCTGAAGACCCAGCCCCCGGGCTCCAAGGTGACCAGATCTCAGATAGCATTTCTGTTCCATGGTGTAGTGCAGGCTGCTGGAGGAAAACACCTGCAGCACAGCTGGGGAGGAGACGGGGGGGAGCGGGACGGGAGCGGGGGCAGTGCGGGGCACAGCCAGTGACCTTGAAGGATTCAGTGCACAGGGTGTCAAGACCAAGGTGCTCCCAAACACACGCCTGCTGCCCACGAAAGGCCTCAGAACGCTCGCTCCTGCCCCACATCCACGCTGCTCAAGTCCAAATCAAGTCCTTCCTGTGGCACAAGAGCCTGCGGCCTCCTCCACCTCCACCTGAGTCCCAGGTGCCGCAGGGCAGACGGGACCCAGGGACAGAGACCAGAGCAGACACCCCTCCTGGCACCGATGGCTTTCACCCAACTGGATCAGAAACATGCTTGGCAACCAGAGATTAAATTATTCACATTGCAGTAAACTTTTTAAGGTCTCTGAGAGTTACAATAGGAACATCATGTGCAAAACTGACAGCTGTCCAAGGGCCCAGCCGACAGGACTGGCTCTCCCTGCCAGCTCGACCAGGCCCTCCCCGAGCGGGGACACGCTGCAGGGCTTGGCTGAGCCCTGGTGGACAAGGCAAAGAGCCTTCCACCCCGCACTGGGGCTCGTGTCCCTCGGCAGCTCCCTGCTCCTTCACAGTAGAGGACCTGGGCCACCCAGGGCCACCTGCGCCTGGAGCCTCTCCCTGGCCCCAACCAAGGGCTGACACGCAGGTCTGGGCAGCTCCTTCTGGGAAGGCCTACGACGACTGTGCAGAAGGTGTGGGTGCCCCCCGATCCACTGCCCATCATGCTGAGTCCTGGTCCATGCTGCAGCCCAGCGCCTCAATGTCGCTGCTGATGTCTGAGATCATGCGGTCCCACTCATCCCCCTCTGAGGGCGCTGACCGGTCATCAGAGCTGCCCGTGGCCCTGTTCCCGTTGGTGGTAGAACTGGATGTGGTGCTCAGGGCCCGCCGGTGCCTGCCAAAGCTGTCGGTGATGATGCCGCGGCCATCCTTCACGCCAATGGTTTCCAGGAAGTTCTCGAAGTGCTGACTGTCCTTCTCAGGGATGAAGGGCCTCAGACCTGCAGACACACAACACCCAGCATGGCACCTCCAGTTTGGCTCAACCCACTCAGCTCTTCTCTCAGGGCTCAAAGCCCCCTGACAGGGCCACAGCTGCCCCTGGTGCACGGCCTTGGGGACCCTGATGCCATGCTCACTGCATCTAGCATCCTGGTTGAAATCATGCTTCCTGGGGCCAGACAGTTTGGCTAAAACCTCAACTCTGACAGGCACTGCTGCTGGCCCTGACAGCTTACTGCCTCTGCCACAGGCACACTCCATGGCCTACAGGCACCAGCACAGGCCAAGAACCTGTGGTCTCCTCTCATTCTCTAACAGTCCTCACAAAGTCCTCATTTTACAGTGGGGAAAGCTGAGGCCCAGAGCAGTCCTCAAAGCCGCCTGCTGGCACCCAGCAACAAGGGTGCAGTTCTCGGAGGCAGGCCTCATGCCAAAGTCCACTGTTTCCCTGCCATGGCCTGGGTGGCTGCCCCAACTCAGAGGGCTGCCCTCTTATGCGGGAAGCCTAGTGTGTCTCTCAGAATCTCCACTCCCTGCTGTGGAGGGACAGACAGAGTCCCACGCCAGGAGGCAACACAGGACGCAGCACAGAAGGGGTGGGCACTGCTTAGACAGAACCTGTTGTGCAGACAGGCTGCCCCAGCCTCCAGCCCTTCACGCTTCTAAGAGCAGGGAGCCCTGGGTAGGCAGTCCATGCTTGCCACTGCCAGATCGGTACAACGGTAACAAATCCACCTTCCTTGGTTTGTGGGAAAAACAGGCCCAGGACCCAGAAGCCTTCAAATGGCTACCAGTAACAAACTACTGCCAACTTGCTGTGTTCTAATTGTCGGCAGAGGGAACCCACAGCTAAGTCACTGTCCCTGAGAGGTGTGGGGCCAACATCCAACTCTGCTGCTCAGACCACACAGCCCTCTAGCTGTACTGACCTAACGTGCTGAGCTTTTTGGGGGGTCTTGGCAAACGCTGGTCCTTCTGCCTTGAAGTCCCACACATTCACCAAAACCCATGCCTCCCTGGCTCCTCCAGCACTCTTCTCCTAAATCTCAGGGTTGTGTTCACTCCCAGCCCTGCTCCTGGGAGATCTCTGCTGCTTCCTGGCAGGACCCACCCAGCTCAGCCTGAGTTCCCAGGAGAATGAAGGCCTGTCGGTGGGCCCCCAACAGTCCCTGGGAAAAGCCCTTCTGATTAATCACAGCAGATTCCCCGATCTCTGGACTGTGCTCTCATGACCATCTCTGGTTCAAATCTCCCATCCCTGATGAAGCCCCTGCTGTACCCACTGAGGGGTCCGTGTGCACATTCCCAGGAGGGATCAGCCTCCCCAAGCCAGGTCTGGACAAGTCACTCTCTTTCCTGGGCCCACTCACCAAGCAGCAGGAACTTGCGGCTGTCCCCGTAGAGCTGCCGCAGGTTGATGCAGAACTCGTGGATAGAGGCCCCATTGCGGTACTCGTGTAGCAGCGCTGCAAATTGCTGGATCTCCTGCGACGACAGCTTGGTGCGCAGCTGCAAGAGAGCAGAGCCAGGTGCAGGGCTGGGCACAGTGGGCAAGAGTCGGCAGTCGGGCCCACCCTGCGACAGCCACTAACCCCAGCCAGAGCACCAGCTGTCTCTGGCTTCACCTCTGCACAGGCTGGGGCATCAGAATGCCCACAATGTGTCCCCATCCTATCAGGCTTGGCACGGGGCCCACCCAGAAGAGACCAAGGCACCCGGGCAGCTCCACTCTCCTGAGCTGGAACACAGAGTGCATGGGAGGGACAGGAGCCAGCAGGGCAAGGTGGAAGTGAGCAACCTGGTATCAGGCCAATGCCTGTGCCCTCAGGCTACACACAGGCAGATTAGGAAGACTTGAGTTTTCTATGACAGAACTATGTAAGATGGGAAGGATAAAAGTGTCTGGCCATGTAGCCTTGCAGAGGACACTGTTCCCTCCCCTCCCCTAGGACCCAAGCACAGGCCCGAAGTCCAGTCCTGATGGCCACAGTACCCCCAACTCAGCCCTACTGACTCATGCTCTCCCAGACTATCCCCGGGAAAAGGCAGTGATGTCAGCAAAACTGACCAACAGTGCTAGGCACTGCTCCTCCTCCTCCTCCTCCTCTTCCCCTTCCCCACATCCTCCCTAGGGCACCCCCTCCCTCAAGCAACCCAGCGGTGGCAGAGGCCTACCGTCAGCATGTAGTCCTGCAGCAGCTCAGTGGCGCTGGCGCTCAGCTCACTCTCACTGATGGTCTTGCCGTGGGGTGACGCAACACCCACATCCACGGACTCAGGGAAGCAGCTGCGGAAGAATGTGGTATGTGAGTGGGTGGCTTCCTTGACCCTCCATCCCACACACGTTTCAGGAAACTTAGTCCATGCTGTGTGTGTGGGTCACTGTCCCTGAACAGAGGAATGTAAGTGATGATGATGATAACAGGAGAGCTGGCCAAGCGTGCAAGGTGGTCAGCTTGGCCTGGTCCTGGAGCTCCCCGGGGGTGTGGCTCTGAGGTGGGCTCTGAGTGAAGGGAGGGAGTACATAGGTCAAGGTGGTGGGCAGCATTGTTGGGAGGGGGAAGCGAAAGGCTCGGAGGGAGGAGCCGGGGTTGTGGGGTGGCAGGAATGGAGAGCACCAGTGGGCTGAAGTACTACAGAGGCCCAGGCAGTGGCAGATACGGGCTGGAAGGCCAGCGCCTCGGCAGACTTGGGTAGGGGAACAGCTCCATCCAACATGCCTATTACAAGCTCACTCTTGGGAAGCCATGGGAAGGTGGGCAGGGAGAGACCAGAGGGACAGCAAGGGCTCTAGAAGTCTACGAGGAGAGGGCGGCGAGTCAGGCCTCAACCATTCACTAAGCTGGGGACAGTGGGTCTGGGGATGGCTTAGCGAGGTGGGGCTGAGATGGGGGCGCTGACTGGCTGCAGCCTGGACAACACTGGGCAATGCACTTGGTGCGTGTCCCACCGCACGGCTTGGTGGCATGTGCACTCACAAAGTGCTGGCTTCCACCTCGTAGGTCTCCTTAATGTCCACTTTTGTAGAAGAGTCATCTGTAAGGAAGATGCAGAAAACTAAGATGACTTTCGGGGACATGGTGGGGAGGCATTTTGAGTCCAGCCCACTGCTGTATTTACAGGAGACAGCGGCAGCCCTGGCCTTCAGGGACCCTGCTGTCCTTCAGCAAGCTGCCCACACTCTGGAATGTGCTGTGTGCCTCAGGGCAGGGCCCCCCAGACTTAAGCCCACATACACCCCTCCTGGGGATCCTGGCAAATGCAAATCCTGCTGCAGGCTGGGCTGAAGTTCACATTCACCCATGGCCAGAGTCAACAAAAGCTGTTTTTGAGGTATCACTCATGTGCCACGCAGGGTCACTGGGGCTTTGTCTCCTTTAACCCAGGCACATATCACCCCTATCTTCACTTGCAGACGAGGAAGTAAGTCAAAGAGATTACACAACTTGGCCCAGGTCATGCAGCAGCAACCACAGTCAGAGCTGGGCAGTCTGACTCCCCACCTGAACCCAGCGAAGCCACAGGATTCCTGAGACCCTCAGACCAGCAAAGGGTCTAACACTGAGCAGCTACATTCAACAAATGACATTAGGTCTGCGTGACACAGACTGTAATTTGCTATTCTAAACCTGAGGAAGGCACATTTCCACACCAGCGCAGGCAGTGAGTGAAAGCTTTGTGAGTGAGGCAGGTGAGTGTTGCGGAGAGGGTAAGATTTTAAATGGGAGCAGAGGGAGAGGCTGGGAGATAAAAGGGACATTTCTGGCACTAGGAACAAGGTAAGTATGGAGAGCAGAATAATGACCCCCCAAAGATGTCCACATCCTAATCCCTGGAATTGGTGAATATGTTACCAATTTCAAAGGGGAGTAAAGGATGCTAATCAGCTGACCTTGAAATAGGGAGATGACCCTGGAGAATTTGGGTGGGCTCAATGTGATTGCAAGAGTCCTGAAATGCAGAGGAAGCTGAGAGTCAAAGGAAGATGTGACTGTGGAAGATGTCACGTGGCTGGCTGTGAAGACAGAGGAAGGGCCGTGAGCCAAAGCATGCAGCCGCCTCTAGGAGCTGGAAAGACAAGGAAATGGCTTCTTCTCTGGAGCCTCCAGAAGGAACCAGCCCTGTGGACACCTCAACTTTAGCCCAGTGGGACCCACATTGGACTCTTAATGTATAGAATTATAAGAGAATATATTTCTGCTTTTATGCTGCTATGTTTTGGCATAGCTGGAGTAGAGAGAACACAGCAAGCAAAACTCCAAGGCAGAAATAAGCAGAGAATGCATGCATGTGCGTATGGGTGTGCATAACGTGTGCACATCTGTGTGTGGATCCCAGGGGGAGGTCTTGGGAAAGGCTGGCAGGGGAAGAAGCCCACTTCAGCAGCCCTCAGTAGTGGTGTTACATGATGTGTTTATTTTGTGAAAATTCATTCAACTGTACATGTATGACTTGTGTACTTCTCAGTAAAAAAAATTATTAAAGAAAAAAAAAAGGCCCTTTGGGAATTTTAAAGTACAAGGGCGAAACCAATCACACTGAAACTGAATGGCAGTTTGATAAATCGTCTGCTACTCATATGGTACATTCCTCTGGATATACTGTTGACTTCTAAGCCTCTACTTCCCCATCTCTAAAATGGGGATGAAGACTGCACCTAACTCACTAGGTCACTGAGGACTAAATGAGATGGAGAGCATGCCTGAGAGCTCAGCAGCTGTCCTCTCTGCAGCTGCTGGGCCAACACAGGGCGTAACGTGCCCCAAAGGGCTCTGGCACCAGCAGCAAGAAAGGGAGGGAGGAGGCACTGAGGAGCAGCCCTCACATCGGCACGGGCTTCCCCAGGGTTCTCCACCATTTACTCTCTTCACTGAGATGTGTGTTACTGGGGAAAGGGTAGAGGGCTGGGACTTATCTCCATAAAAAGAAGAAATTGCACTCAACAAGTCACACTGTTTCCAACAGCTTTTTTTTTTTTTTTTTTTTTTTTTTTTGGTATTTTTAGTAGAGACGGGGTTTCTCCATGTTGGTCAGGCTGGTCTCGAACTCCCAACCTCAGGTGATCCGCCCGCCTCAGCCTCCCAAAGTGCTGGGATTACAGGCATGAGCCACCACACCCGGCCTCCAACAGCTTTTTATGCACCTGATTTATGTAAACCATTAATCCTCAATAAGTAATACATCTGAAAAACAGATGATGTTTTTAAAGATTTAACTCAAGTGAGCTTGCTGATGAAGTGTTTTCAATGGACTAACAGACTCCTGAAAATGCTGTGTGGGTCATGCAGGAGGAGGCAGCTCTGGGGTGCCTTCGATTCTTCCCCATCTGCCACTGCTCCACCACTACCAGCTGACCTCCCAGGGCAGCCTGAGCAGCTTCCCATGGGTCTGGCCATGGTCCTGGAAGGAGTTTCACATTAAGAGCAGCCATGGTCCGGGCATACCGAAAAGGAGGCTCCCCAGATCCACTCTCAGCCTCCCCAATTCCATCACAGGCCCTAATGCTAGCAGCCTTCTCCAGGCTCTTTGTTCTGAGTTAAATTAAGTGACTTTAGCCACAAGTGGTTCCAAAAAAGTGTTCGAAGACCCCAAATGTATTCCAGGAAGCCATCGTACTGACCTGGTGCAACTCGCTCAAGGACAGGTGACATTTCTGCCTTGATGAAACCCTATGGGCTAATGTGAACAGCAAAGTCTGGGAACAAAAGGCCACCATGTCACGGCAGTAACTGCGCTATTCCAGGGGTAACTCATGGGGAGCTGGGGGCCACTGCAGTAGCCCCTCCTGTCTCTGCTCCCACCCGCTGCCCACTCTCACTCAACATACCGCTGTGCAGGGACAGGTGGTGAGTAGGGGTGGAGGCCCCATCAAATATCGCTCTGTCCAGAAAGTCGATGGTGGACTCCGTGTAAACAACCTGGAAGACCTGGCCTAGCAGACAGCAAAGCTCCTCGGCAGCAACCTGCAGTAGGGGACAGCAGCTGCTCAGTCAGTCTGGCTGGAGACTGTGCCTTCCCAAGCAGCTTCCAGGATACCTGGGGCAGCCCAGATGCTCAATCAACATGAATGAAGAGCGGATGCCAGAATGTGTCCCTCTACCTTTCACTGACCCAAAGGGGTGTCAAAAGGGAGACCTAGCCAACTGCCCCAGGACTCCATCTAGGACTGCCACATGGCTCAGGGGTGGTTTTGCAAGTGTGAGAGGACTGTGCAGGGCACAAGTGTTAGCTGCCAGCCCTACGTCCTCTTTCCATTAACCTGACCTGTCAACACCCTCACAACCCTATCCCAGCCCAGGAAACAGGTGAGAGGAGATACCATCAGTATCACAGCCCACCTGGAGGCGTTTCTAACAGCTATAAAACAGTTTTATAACAGTGTGCTGTCTAAAGCAGAGGCTCTCAACTGGGGCATTTTTGTACCCCTCCCAGGGGACATGTAGCAATATCTGGAGATACTTTCAGCTGTCACAAGGGGAGAAGCTGGGATGCTGCTCAACACCCCCACAATGCACAGGGCAGCCTCCCACAGTGGAAAATTATTGGGCTAAAAATGACAGTAGCATCAACACTGAGAAATGCTCATTACAGGATATTTAAGGTGGGTGGTCACTAGTATCCATTTTACAGATATGGAAATTAAACAGAAAGGTGTTAAGTGACTGCCAAGGCCCCACAGCTATTGGGTGGCTGAGGGGGCCCCAAACCCTAGCCTACAAGGGCCCGGCCCTTGGCTCTTCCAGGTGGTGAGTAATCTATAAGCACAGTCCTGAACACCAGGCAGGTCTAGGATGCAGCTCCCAGGCAGGTGACTGCCGCTGCCCGCCCATCAGCGTGGGGGCACCTTGAAGAATGATAAGCAAAAAGCTCAGTAGCCAGGTGGTCTCAGAGAAGGTGCTGGGGCTTGGAGAAGAAGGGTTGGAAGGCACAGGGGTGGGAACCGTTAGGGAGCCTGGACCTGGGGCAGGACCTGGGATGCAGCCATGGGTAGAGGAGCTGTGGGCAGGGCCAGGATGGGGGCAATGCCTGGGGCAGAGCTGAGCAGAGAGGTGGGGCTGGGCGGGGACTAGGGTGAAGCGGGGACAGGCAATGGCAGAGGAAGTAGCTGGGTCCAGGGCAGTACCCAGCACTGTGCTGGGTATGGCCAGGGTGGGGCCACAGGCGGAGCTGGCCATGAGCAGGGTTTGGGAGGAGCCAGGAACAGGACTCGGTTCTGAGTGAGTGGGGCGAGAAAGTCTCACCTTGCTCTCTGCAGCCAGGATGACCAGGCAGCATGCCTCCACGGGCCCAACTGCACTCTCCGACAGGGAGCCTGCACTGAGACCTCTGGAACTTTCCGCACACAGACTCTGGCTGGGGGAGATCCCTGGGTCCTGGGCTAAGAAGTCAATACCATCTCAGGTTAGTGCAGTGAAAGGGCAGGCATGGGGGCACTGGAGGCAACAGCTGAGGCCACTATGGAAACAGGCTGAGAGGACCTTTACCTGGCTCAGGCACCCACAGAACGACCCGGGTGAAGGGCCTGCACCAGATACACCTTGCTTCTCTAAAGAAGGGTGGGAACACACGACCACTGAGCACCAGGGCACCAGAGCTGCACGTCATCCTGTAGTTTCACATGCTTCAAGTTCATATACAACAGACCACATACACAACTCTGAGAACAGTCACCTCCAGGAGGTTTCCATGTGTTCTGAGGGAGTTCCCTTCTTACAGATGGGTAAACGGAGGCGGGGTAAGTGAAAGGCCAGGCCTGAGGGCATGTGAGCTGCACTGTCCACGTGGCAATCTAAATGGTCAGACCCCAGTGCCCTTGTTTCTAACATCCTACCCATCGCCTCCCTAGACAAATGAGGATCTCTTGAAATACATGGAGTAACTCAGTGGTTTTCCTGATAGCAGGAGGGAGGCCCATCCCCAGGAAGCAGGGCCCTTACCATCAGTTCGGACCACCCCGGGAGGACTTCACGACTGAAAACAAAACCTAGAAGTGCCACTAGTGCCAGGGTGTCGGAGGGCAGGCCAGCCTCAGGAGGGAGAGGAAGGCTGTCCCAGGCCAGGTACAAGGTAGGCGCATGCACAGAGACACGGGCTCTATAAGGGACTGTACCTCAAACCCCACAGTGAGACTCCTGGGGCTGCTCTGTCCCTGTGGTAGCCACTGGCCACAGGACTACTGAGTATGCAAAATGTGATGAGTCCACATTGAAACGTGTGAGTGCAAACTATACACAGGGTTTCAGAGGTAGACAAAGAAAGAATGCTATGTAGCTCAACAATTTTTATATTGATTATATACTGATGTGATAATGTTTTGGGTACAGAGGGCTAAATAAAATATATTATTGAAAATAATTGGCCAGGCGCGATGGCTCATGGCTGTAATCCCAGCACTTTGGGAGGCCGAGGCGGGTGGATCGCCTGAGGTCAGAAGTTCAAGACCAGCCTGGCCAACATGGTGAAACCCCGTCTCTACTAAAAATACAAAAAATTAGCTGGACGTGGTGGCGGGAGCCTGTAGTCCCAGTTACTCGGGAGGCTGAGGCAGGAGAATGGCGTGAACCCGGGAGGTGGAGCTTGCAGTGAGCCGAGATCGCACCACTGCACTCCAGCCTGGGTGACAGAGCAAAACTCCGTCTCAAAAAAAAAAAATTCACTTGTTTCCCTTTACTTTTTTTCTTTTTTTGGTATGAGTTTGGTAAGAAATCTCTACCTTTTAAACATTTTTTAAATGTTGGCTCCCTGGTGTGTACCTGTGGCAGTTCTCAAAGAAGCAGGGTGGGCAGCCTAAGGATGCAGGCAGCAAGTTGTATGCCTCTCCTGTATCATCCAGGAAGTGCTACTGTGGGTGCACGGGTGACCCTACCTCATCTGGCACCAACTCAAGTCACCGCCCTCCAAGCAGTTCCTGCCACATGGACCCTATTAGAGCTAACCTGGCCCCTAACTTCCCCGTTCCTGTGCTATCCCAAATACCAGGGTACTTTTGGTCCAAAGAGACACAGAGACTTGCTTGCACATAGCAGGCACTGAGTAAACGTTAGCTATTCACCTGCTGGTCTCTTATGTTGAGAACTCTGGATTCCTAATCCTAAACACAGCATGGCAGCCCAGTGCAGTGGCTCATGCCCGTAGTCCCAACACTTTGGGAGGCTAAGACGGGAGGATTACTTGAGGCCAGGAGTTCAAGACCAGCCTGGGCAACAGAGAGAGACCTCATCCTTAACAAAAAAAGTTAAAATATTTTAAAATTACAAAATAAACACAGCATGCCTCATGTAACACAGGAGACACAAAACTGCTCCAGTGCATCTGCAAAAACAAGAAAGATGGCCCCCAGGACCCAGGGATTCACTCTCTTCCTTTAAACCAAAAGTTCTCTCAAAGACCAGAGGTCCTGCTTTTCATCTATTTTTTGGAAAGTTTCTCACTATGGCGCTCATTCTCTCTCCATTTAAAAAAAATCTGTTATCCATTTCCTTTAGCAATGTGTTCTAATAATTAAAGCTGAGAAACTGTCATGCAGCAGAAGAAATAAAGGGGGGGGCCTATCTCCCCTCCCTACCAGCTTGAAATACCTGCAGGAAGCCAGTCAGAAACCAGTCTCCTCACTCCTTGTCCCTAAGGATGGCCCAGGCCTAAGGCCTCCTGCAGGGTCCAAAGGTAGAAAAACAGGAGGGTCACCATGGTGTTGGACAGTATGGCTAGAAGTAGCCACCAAGCCAGCCTTCTCAGCCAGACAGGGTGAGTAACGTACATGTGTATAGGTGTGGTGTGTGCCTGTGTTGGGGAGGATGTACGCAAGTCTAAGCTACTGCTACACAGAGAACAAAGCAGAGCAACAGTCACCTTCATAAACCCCGCCAGTGTTCCCTGTGTAGTCTGTGACCACAGCAACTCCAAGCATCTAGACTCACAGGCTTTCTGTGGACAGATCTCAAGAGCGCACTCAAGCTGGCAGCTTCATGGCTCAAGGGGTCAATAATGAACACACTCGCCAGATTCTCAATGAACTACTGACCTTAAACGGAACAACAACTTCCCCTCTCTGCTACCTCAAACACAGTGTGTGGTCTAGGCAGACCCACTGTGACCTCTTCACACCCTGCCACTGGACCTCGGGAAATGAAAGGCTTTGGGATCAACCCAGTCACCAGCAGAGATCCAAGGAACCCAGGATACTGTCCCTACCGCAACGCCAGCTTTAAAACTCAGGACTGGGAGGGGCAAAATACAGGGAGGGTGAACCATGGTCTCTCCCCTCATCCTCAGTGGCATGAATGCCTGGGCTGGAAGCCACTGGAAATTAATAGGCAGCTTGGGATAGGGTCCAGTGAGGCATCACTGTACTCACCACAGCCAAAAATAACACTCTGCCCAATTCTATCCCATTGTGAAAGCAGCAGGCAGCAAGGACACACAAAGAGTAATCTCTATGACCAAGAACTCCTGGGAGGTCTGGGTCTCATCTTTGCTGTCCCTGCTTTAAGGACACTGTGCAGAGCTCAAAATGTCAGTCAAGCTGAGGTGAGGTCCCTACCCACTGCGTTCTCTCTAGGATCCACCACACCTAGGCAGAGAGGCAACTCCAGTGTACCCAGTGGGAGTCAATAGGAGCCCCGCCGGGCAGAGGAACAGGATACCAGTCCTAAATATTGTATCCCAGTATTATTGAGTCCCCAAAGGCTCTTAGTGTGCCAGTGACTCCCAGTGTCTGGTAACTGATCTCAAGCCCTCTTCTGGCTGATCTCAGAGACAAGAAAGCCAACTATTGGTCACGACAAACAGCAGCACCCAACACAAAGCTGCAAAAACTGTCTCCAGAAGTTCATAAAATTCACACATGCACTCCTTAGGACAAGGACCCTCCTGACCCTTGACCTCCTGTACCTGTCTTCAGGACCACCAGGTGCGCGGCGTCATCCCGAACATAGGAGACGGCGGCGATGTCATGGATGGGCACCCTGAGGATGATATCCTCCCCGTCCCTCCAGGCCAGCTTGACGTTGTATGCAGACAGGCTGAGCACAGCATCGTGCTCCTGAGTCAAGTGTCCCGGAAGCTGGTGGGCTCTCTGGAAAGAACCACAGGGCGTCAGAAATGCAGACTCAGCTGTCAACCGGCATGGGGCTCTTCTCCTGAGAATATTGTGCTGGCCGATGTTATACATGTGACAAATGCTGAGTGAACAAGGTCAGTGTTATTCCCCTCAGAACAGTGCTTATTCCAGGGACACCAATGTGTTCAAACCATTTGGGAGATTCTTCTGGAACTGCCTTCAGATTCGGACTTACAGCACGTGGTTTGAAATATCTTGAAAATGTAAATTCTGGAAACAGCCCAAAATCACATGGAGCAAGTCTCGAGAATCAAGTTAATGTCCATACTAAGGAATAGTCTTTATGGCCAAGAGCCAAGTGTACCCATAATGTGATGAGACTGGCTCATTCCTCACAGCCACGAGGCCAAGTGTACAGGGACCAAGGGCTGGTGGGGGCTGAGGGCTAGTGCACAGGGTTAAGAGGATAGGGTTACCTTTGCATTGTCTATGAAATGCAGGATTTCAGTCCTACTGGAGGGATTCAGGTATCCTGGTATGGACGTTAACTGACCTAAATACTGAAAGAAAGTGAAGAAAAAAAAATGCCATGAGAAATGGGAGCTGAGCCAACACCACCATCACTACCACCGAGAGCACAAACCAAGTGCTTCATACTCAAGCCACCAGGCTCATGGGTCTCCCATCTGGCTCGCGTGGAGGGCCAACTCCAGGAAGAGAGTCCTGGGTTCTTACAGAAATCTCTACTGGCTGAGGAGAGTGCTGCCCCGTCTCCTACTATTCTACAGTGAAGGTCATCATCAAAAGTCCTGCAATGGACATCCCAAACTACTAGTACCAAAACTACTAGTTTTGGTAGAATCCGTATTCTAAAACAGGGATGGCCAGTGTTTTCTAGTCACTGCTGGGGAAACTGAAAACAATGGCACCATGCATAACTTCACTAAAAAATGAACTTACTCAATTGCAAAGGTCAACGCAGCTGAGAAATTAGCATAAATAGAAAAATGAAGTGCTATGGTTTCAAAGTGTCCCCCAAAAAGCATGTGCTGGAAACTTAGTCCCCAAATGCAACAGTGTTAAGGGTGGGGCCTTTAAGAAGTGATTAGGCTGGGTGCGGTGGCTTAGGCCTGTAATCCCAGCACTTTGGGAGGCCAAGGCGGGTGGATCACCTGAGGTCGGGAGTTCGAGACCAGCCTGACCAACATGGGGAAACCCTGTCTCTACTAAAAATACAAAATTGGCTGGACGTGGTGGATCATGCCTATAATCCTAGCTACTCGGGAGGCTGAGGCAGGAGAATTGCTTGAACCCGGGAGGTGGAGGTTGCAGTGAGCCGACATTGCACCATTACACTCCAGCCTGGGCAACAAGAGCAAAACTCTGTCTCAAAAAAAAAAAAGATAAGAGCTGATTAGGCAACAAGAGCTCTGCCCTTGTGAGCAGATTAATGCTGTTATCCTGGGAGGGGGTTTGTTATCTCAGGAGAAGGTTCCTGATAAAAGGATGAATTTGACCCCCTTCCCTCTCCTGCCCTTCCACCTTTCGCCCTGGGATAACATAAGATGCAGATGCAGCCCCTCACCAGCTGTGCCCTTCAACGTTAAACCTCCTAGCCCCCAGAACTAAACGATTTTTTTTTCTTTTTTTTTTTTGAGACAGGGTCTCACTCTGTAACACAGGCTGGGGTGAGGAGGCGTGATCTTGGCTCACTGCAACCTCTGCCTCCCAGGCTCAAAGCAATTGTCCCACCTTAGCCTCCTGAGTAGCTGGGACTACAGGGGTGTGCCGCCACACCTGGCTAATTTTTGTAGAGATAGGGTTTTGCCATGTAGCCCAGGCTGGTCTTGAACTCTTAGACTTAAGCAATCTGCTCACCACAGCCTCCCAAATTGCTGGGATTACAGGTGTGAGGCACCATGCCCAGCCTAGAAATTTCTATTCATTATAAATTTCCCAGTCTGTGGTATTTGTTATAGCAGCACAAAACAGACTAAAACATTTAGTAAACAGGTTTTTTTGGTCACACATGGCTGTGAGGCACTTAGCTTAGCAAACCTCCATGACACAGGGCCTCAGGTGCAGAAGGCGGTGGGCAGCAGCACTGTACCTGCTGTGCTCCTGCCTGCATCTTACCAACCACCGTAACATTTTTAATGTTTCTGTTTTTTAAAATGGGTTGCTGATTCTTCCCAAGAACAGGCTTCTTGCACTCAACATTTTTCAGTTGCTCATTACCTCACACAGTTAAGTTCTCTATTAAAAAAGAATGAAATGGGACTTTCCAATTTCTTGTCCAGCTTGTAAAGGGCTCAGAAGTCATCACTCCCATCCTCACAACAAGAAAGCTGGCAAACTTACAATCAATGACTGTTCTTAGATCCATCAGATAACTGAGGTCACATGAAAAAACAATAACCCCAAAGATGGAGAGACAGAATGCAATGCTAAGAATCACAGCTCATTACGCAGCAGAAACCTTAGAGCCAGCACCAGCGGAGAGGAAAGGGGAACTGATAAATGGCAGAGACTGAGCATGGACCAGTATGAGACAAAAACTCCAGGGGAACAGTCACTGGGGAGGTCCCCATACCAGTCTGAGTTTTACCACTAGGAGTCCCACCAGGCTGTCAGGGTGACTGGAGAAACATCTCCTCATACTCTGGCAGGAGGAGGGAAAATACATCATTTAAAAGTATAACCAGGCCAGGTGTGGTGGCTCATGCCCATAATCCCAGGACTTTGGATGGTCAAGGTGGGAGGTTTGCTTGAGGTCAAGAGTTTGAGACCAGCCTGGGAAACATGGTGAGACCCTATCTCTACAACAACAACAAAATAGTTGGGCATGGCGGCGTGCCTGTGGTGCCAGCTACTCAGGAGGCTGAGGTGGGAGGATCATTTGAGCCCAGGAGGTCGAAGCTGCAGTGAGTCATGATGGTGCCACAGCACTCCAGTTTTCCAACCAACATATAAAGGGCTCAGAGGTCATCTCAAAAAAAAAAGAAGAAAGAAAAAAAGAAAAGAAAAAGGAATGACCAGAGCATTCTGTTATCCTTAACAAAGGCCTTTCCTCAAGGAAAACTATTTTACCAGAGCCTAACCACCTAGGGGTAAGGAAACACCCAATTCCTGCCTCCTCTATCGTTTATGTCTCTCCTAACGGGGAGGAAAAAAACAAAACTAAGAAGCACATGTGTAGGCCACGGCCCAGGGACACAGGCTCACTAAAACACTGAGACCTAATTCCAGGACTACAGAACACTTCCTCTCCCCTGAAAGCCACATCAACAGGACCCCTGTGTAATAACAGGGATGCACACCTATAAGAACTGCAAGCCTCAGACTCTATTTAAGAAGGAACCTTGAAGAAAACCCAAAAACAATGGAACACAAAAACAAGGACACACAAGAGATTTTATCCCCCAGCATCTACAAGGGCAGCAAACAGTAAACACAGCCCAACTCCCAGCTAGACAAACATACCTCACACTAAGGCCTATTAACCTGATGCCTAAGTTCCTCATATCAGAAACAGACTCAGACATGGTGGAGATTTTGGAACTACCAGATTGGGAATTTAAAACAACTACGATTAATATGGTAATGGCTCTAATGGAAAAAGTAGACATCATGTAAGAACAGACAGGCAGTATAAGCAGAGATGGAAACGCTAAGCAACAATCAGTAGGAAATGCCAGAAAGCAAAGTCCTGTAACAGCAATGGGGACTGCCTTCGACAAGCTCAAGAGGCTGGACACAGCCAAGGAGAGACTCTCTGAGCTTAAGAATACGTCAACAGAAACCTCCAAACCTGAAAATCAAAGGGAAAATAGAATGAAAGAAAGAAAACAGAATATGCAAGAACTGTGGGACAGTTACAAAAGGTGTAACATATGTGCAATGAGGGTATCAAGAGAAAGAAAAGAACACAATAACTATTTGGAGTAATGAGAGCTGAGAAGTTCCCCAACTAACGTCAGACACCCACCCACAGATCCAATGAGGTCAGAGAACATGAAACGGTAAAAAGCAGGGAATCTACACTGAGGCAAATCACATCAAATTGCAGAAATGAAAGACAAAAAGAAAATCAGAAAGGAAGACTATCTCTTCTGCAGAAATCTGCCACAGGAAATCTTTCCACAGGAAAAAAACACCCTACCTATAAAATGGCAGGAAAAAGAATCACACAGGACTTCTCTTCAGGAACCATCCAAGCAAGAAGAGAGAGGGAACTATTTGATTCTGTATCCAGTGAAATTACCCTTCAGAAGTGAAAGAGAAATGATTTTTCTCAGAAAAACAATAACTCAGGGATTTAACATTTCAAGAAAAGTTAAAAGAACTTCTTCAGAGAGAATGAAAATGATATAGTCAGAAACTCTGATCTACGTAAAGGGGAAAAGCATCAGAGAAGAAATAAAGGTAGGTAAAATTAGTATTTTTTTTTATTTTAATTGCTCTAACACATTAACAGTTTGTTCAAAATAAAATTTGTGTATTGGGCGACTGTAGCCTAAAGATAAATGAAATAAATGACAGCAATGTTATAGGCAGCGGGACGAGTGAATTGGGAATACTTGGTTACAAGGTATTTGCACTACCTGTGAAGCAGCACAGCATTATTTGAAAGTGGATTTTGATTAGTTGTGAATGTATATTGTAAACCTTAAGGCAACCACTAAAATAAATACATATACACACACATACATTTTTGAGACAGGGTCTTGCTCTGTCACCCAGGCTGGAGTGCAGTGGCACGATCACAGCTCACTGCAGCCTCAACCTCCCAGGCTGAAGTGATCCTCCCACCAGTAGGTGAGACTACAGGCACATGCCACCAGGCCCAGCTAATTTTTGTATTTTTTGTAGAGGCAGACAGGGTTTTGCCATGTTGCCCAGTCTGGTCTCGAACTCCTGAGCTCAACTGATCCGCCCACCTCGGCCTTCAAAAGTGCTGGGAATACAGGCATGAGCCACCGCACCTAGCCTGTATTTTTCGTTTTTTCTTTCTTTTTTTTTTTTTTTAAGAGACAGGGTTTCACCACATTGCCTAGGCTAGTCTCAAACTCCTAGGCTCAAGTGATCCTCCTGCCTTGGCCTCCCGAAGTGCTGGGATTACAGGCATGAGCCACCACGCCTGGCGAAAAGTTTTAAATAAAATATTAGCACATTGAATCCAATAATGTATTAATAATTATATACCACGATCAAGTGGGATTTATCCCAGGTGTGCAAGGCTGATTCACTGTTCAAATATCAATCATTGTGGCGGGGGCGGTGCTCATGCCTACAATCCCAGGATTTTGGGAGGCCAAGACAGGAGGATCACCTGAGGTCACGAGTTCAAGACTAGCGTGGCCAACATGGTGAAACCCAGTCTCTACTAAAAATAAGAAAATTAGGCTGGTCATGGTAGCTCACACTATTAAAAATTGGGCAAATGACTTGACATTTCTCCAAAGATACACAGATGGCCAATAAGCCAAGCCTAAGAAAAGATTTTCAACATCAATAGTTATTAGGGAAATGCAAATCAAAACCATAATGAAATACCACT